TATCAATAATTATACCAGCTACTCAATAATAATTCGCGAAAGGCCCCGAAGTAGGCGACATCTATGATCAACTTTGGTACTCAAAACTCAGTGAACAACAAAGCAAGTTTGCATTTGGCCCCCGGCATTGTTTCTGGAAGTTTTCAATTTTCTACAGAATATTATTCATTTTATGTATTGTTTCTGTTATATAAATCACAAAAACACCATAAAACACAATTTAACAAAAACCAATCTCAAAAAACTGGCTTTGTTATTCACTGAGTTCGGCAGACATATTGCTATTTTTCGCGTAATTTAGCGCCATCTATTGGTATAGGAATTTCGCCAATATTATAGGGTAGTGTTGTGTTTGATATAATTGATAGATAATAGATGACGAAATCGAAATTGTAAAATTATATGCATGATTTCTTCCCCGTGTGAGGTTGGGTTTTGGGGCCCCCCTCATTACGGAGCCCGGGGCTTTAGCCCCCAAAGCCCCCCCCCTTAATCCGGCCCTGCTCAGTACCCATATTCAGCCCTCAAAATGCCAGACAAAAAAAAATGACTCCACTAAACAGCCCCTATCTCACAGTCTATTAATCATAACTTCACGGGTGTATTTTTTTGTTTGTAGAACAAGTAAAGTAAAACAGTAAATTGACATTTTCAAATTAAGCGTTGGTTATCGTTAAAACCTCCATAAAGCCTAGTACTCATAACTGCGAAATTCGCATTTTTTTGACATTGCGTTGAAAATTTGACGTTTTATGCGTGTATCAAACGTCAAATTTTCGTCGGTGCAAACTTGGAAATGGTCGTTTGACAAATAAACCTAACTTCAGTTACTTATCTCCATGGAGGGAGAACATCTTTGCTTTAGGGCGGGTATTATAAAACTACTTTGAGAGTTAACTTAAAGTTAACTTCTGAACTTACATGTTATTCAAAAAGTTAACTTCAAGTTAACTGTCAAAGCAGTTTTATAATACCCGCCCTTAATCTTTAATTTTTTGTAAAAATACTCGTCTTCAAATTTTGAAGTATTCCTGACACACTCACATTTTTTTTAGGAAGGTCTTTTTTCGAAGTATAGGGCATGTCCATATGACGTCATAAATGAGTTTGACAGACGCCCTGAGGTAAAACAAATCATTTATTTACATTCGTGTGGATTAGACCGGTTATGTTTTATGCGGTTTTCACAGCGAGCGTTTCTACAAGTTTTTGCGTTACTTTGTTTCAAAAAAGTTAGAGTGGCGTATTTGTGTTCTAGTAGTCTATGTGGTCTTTTATCTGAAAGTTTGCTAGGTTTTTCTATAATGGAATAAATTGAGTTTTTTTCCAACAAATATCAAAACAAAGTGTCACAAGAACAAATATATAAGTAGGTATAGTAACTCTATATTCAATCTGTTTTTCTGTCAGATCTTCTCTTTTAGCAATATTAATCAATTTTTCTGTTCTTTCTTGAGTTAACAAATCAAATCTCCTATTGTTATTTAAAATTGATGGAAACCTATGGAAGGATATTGTATCCCTTGCGCTATACTGCCACAATTAACAACTAAACAAACTCTAGGCATGTCCAAGAAACTTCTGGATCACACAAAAGATATTTATTTAAAAAAATATAACTAAAAACTTAAAAAAACACTGTAAATTTATCTTAGTTTTACCTCAAGGCGACTGTCAATAGTGTCAAACTGTCAGATCGTGTACTTGCCCTATACGATTTCCACGAGATCCTCAAATGGTCGAATACCGATGCTTCACCTGCTTCTACTCATTCGAATGAATTACTATATGTCGTACCCATTGATCGATTCCTCTGTCTGTATGCCCAGTAACTCGAATATTCCAAAAGACCGGCGACGTCGTTATTGAGGAGAGTTTTAAAATTATTGAATTGGACTGTCAAAAAACGTCATAAATTTAGTTTATTTACAATCATACATGTAATGTTGACTTTACTGACTTTTAAAAAGTTCGAAAATGTCACTTTTTTGACTTTTACTTTCGGCCCACGGGTCGAAAGTTTACTTTCGACCCGTGGGCCGAAAGTAAATGAAACTTTTAAAATTTATTGTATTTTTTGACTTTTACTTTCGGCCCACGGGTCGAAAGTAAACTTTCGACCCGTGGGCCGAAAGTAAATGAAATTGTTAATTATTGTATTTTTTAGTTTTAATCCAAATGAAAATTTCAAAATTCGAATGATTGTAAATAAAATAGTATACATACCTCGGTGAAAAGTTTCATTACTGTCTCGAGATTTCAGTTAGAAACACTTTCCACCTCGGTATGTAATATACTATTATTTGCAACCATATATGTAATCTCGACATTACTGACTTTTTAAAAATTTGAAAGTGACACTTTACCTGTGTCACTTCCCTCTTCGATTTCCCTCACCGATTTCCCTATTCGACTTCCCTTACCGATTTCCCTCACTCTAATTTATTTACCTTTGCTGGCAACAATGAGAACATGTCAGGTAAAAACGTCAAAACAGGTGAATGACATATTTTGGCATGTTTGTTTCATTTTTTTAATATTAAGAAAATTGAATGGCTAATCACAATTAATGGTGTGCTTGCAAATAAAATAGTATACAAACCTCGGAGGAAAGTTTTCATTTTTGTCTCGAGATTAATAGTCAATCTCTCGACAGTAATGAAACACTTCCCTACTCGGTATGTAATATCCTATTAGGCACTTTAGGCGTGGTTTAGGCGTTTTTTTATAATTCCATCGGCCCACAAGCTAGAAATTCATGTTAAAATGATATCACCTTCTTCCTATAAGTACCTACTCTACTATGTATAAAGATACTACCACCCTTTCCTTGTTTCTGACAAAAATTTATAGATTGATTCCTCATATCCCATCAGTACGACCGAAATGAAACAATACCATATACAACTTCTTCTCAAAATACTTTTTATTACAAAGTTATTTGAGGACTGAACCATTATATAAAAATAGGATTAGAGAGTTATAATATAGGGTATAGGTATAGTATTTTTAATCCGAATTGAAACGCTGAAAAAACATCTAGTCGGCATACATCAAACAAATAAACGACATGGGCGTCACATAATTTTTATTTCTTTAAATGGTGATAATCAATATCAAACAACACAGCTCCATAATACGTGGAATAAAACAGCAAATAATGAATAAATTGGGATGACACTCGGTATAGAAATCGCGTAGTCTAGTCAATAAATTTATCTACATCGTTCCCGGGAAGACGTAAGTAATAATTAATTGAATTTATAGGAGTGTGCCGACCTAAATTATTATTTTGGGCTACTGTAGCGATATTTCGTCGCTGGCTTATATTTTGTAGAGGGAAACTTCCAATAGATTTCCTAGGAAATTATTAGAAGGGAGCGCCGTGATGTTGAAATATCCTCGTATAATACAGTATTTTAAGTCAGAATAAAAATACTTTACCTGATTTAAATGTCTTCAAAAGTAGGTTTAATATGTAAATGATCAATTTCATGTTACTTACATCCTGTGATTAGTAAGGCCAGTAAGGGCAAAACTTTACAGTATATACAAACTCATAAGTAGCTTATCATCAACCTTGAGTTTGGACCTACATTTACAAAAATCTCAAATTTTCTATGACTGTTGTTTGTTTACTATCTATGTAAAGTAAAGAAATAAATCATGGTGAATTTTTGAGAATATTTACACACGCACTTTGTCGGCTTATCACTATTCAAATAAAATGTGGATACTTGGTAATTCCTAATTATTAAATGATTAATTGTCCATTAATATACTTAGTAGTACTTTTTTGAAGTGCGAAAAAAGTAGGCGCCTCTAATTGTAATTGTTTACTATTAAACAGAAGAAATTTAAACCAATACCTGATGTCCCTAATGTGAGGATTAGGTGAGTTATATTAATATATGGTCATCATGATAATACTTTTTCAATGATGAATGCAGTGCTACGCTATTGGCAATTAAGATACTAAGTTTTTTTCACGAAACACCTACTCGTTGAAAATATTGCTCGTTCTTATTGCAGGATGTTAATTTTGGCCTTGATATGTTGTAAATGTGATAAAAAACTTGAAAAAAAAATTGATAAAGCTTACTGAATGACACATGAATCCTAATAATACAAACCCCACAACAATTATCGCAGCATCCATATTTATTTAAAAAAAAAGGAGTACCTAAGTTTCTACAGCATTGGTTCCATCGAGAAGAGTTTTTGGTTACTAACGTTTTGCAGCCATATATCAAACACCTAAATAGAGAGAAAATTGTCAGTAGATATGTTAAGCCGGCTCTACAGCGGAAGTTATATGTATAGGTATTGACAGCAATACACAATATGTATAATAATATCCTGTATAAAACCCCAAATACCCGCCTATGCCATTTTTCTTCATGAAGCCGGCATAGGACGGCTTAGGACTTTTAGTATGTTGTTCAGTACAATAAATAGAATATCCATACCAAATTTCAGATTTACATTATTTTTTTCCGGGTCAAACCCTAATAGGACTGGCCTAGAAGAGACACTTCGAATTTTTCTTCCGTTACGTTCAGTCGGTTAGCTGAATAATATCAGAACCAATTTTCTTATTTAAGAAATAGTATATTTCCTAACTAGTGCGGAAAAGAGACTTTCCGCACGAGTTAGGAACACTATTTTTCTACGAAATGAAAGGTAATATTTTTACCTACCTATTTATCAATTTAAGATATTTTTTTTTTCACTTTTTCGTACCTGTACCTGTAGTTTCTATACCTGATTACCTGTATAACTAAAAATTTCAGGTATTCTACTTTTGTGCGGGAAAGTACGGAAAAGCACTAGTGCAGAAAAGTGAAACTTTCATGACCTAAAATGCGTACGGAAAAGTACACTTTTCCGCACGCTCGTAGAAAAAAATATACAAAAAACCTTTGTTTTTTAGTTGATAACAATTTTTTTATATTTAATCATTAAACGAAGATAAAACATTTTTCTTGTTTTTAATGAACCGGCAATCTTAAATAGTTAGTTTAAGATCTAACAACAATCGAGACAGTGGAAAAGCCCACGAGACCCCGAATAATAAGTATAGTTTTCACGAAGTCAATCCGAACAGCTACATAAAAGAGTCCCGGTACGCTACTCTTCACAGTGCCTAATTTCCAATATATCCCGATGAAAATGACCCAATTTTGTGATGACTAGACCCCGTATGAATATTTTCTTGCTCAAACTAAACTACACATTCCTAGACGGTCTCTTCCAGTCGGTCAAATTTTTTATGCTAGGTATTCTTTTTTATTTCGTATAAACCTACCACTGCAATAAACCTAAAAAAAAGCCATCATAATGACGACATTGTCTTTAATGTCTCTAAACAAGACATGTCAATGAAACCCCTTCGGCTAGCAGCGCAAACAAAAATATACAAAAAGTACTGAATTAGCACTAACAACAATTAAGTACCTACCTACGTAGTCCATACATAGTACCCAATGCATTATTTTTATCCGATTTTGTGCTGGTAAGGGAAGATATCAGTCTCAACCTCAAGTATTTCGATTACGAAGCACAGTGTTCTCAAGTGAGCTTTCGTTGGCTGGTTTTCAGTTGATCACTTGAACTTGAATGCTGCTGGCTGTGCAGGAACGAGCGGTTTCAGTGAAAAGTTGTGCTACGCCAATTTTGCGTGTATTATTTAGTTGAAAGGTAAGTTATTTTCAATAATTTTTTTTTAAATAATTTCTTCTGAACAATTTGTACTGGTACTGATTTCTTAAAATGATTAAAAAAAAAATAAGACAATGGAATTTTTGTTTCGTTGAAATTATTATGGTTCTCATGTTTAAATTTTTTTAATTGTGCTACCACGAAACACAAATTAAATTATATAAACTTGATTATAATTAATGGATTTCTATGAAATAAAATTTTAAAAAAATTATTTATCAACATTAAAAACATCAGCAATTTTCCAAAAAGTCGGTTGGTAATCTCAAAATAAAAGACACTGGAAAAAAATTAAGTCACTTTTTGTTGTTAATATTTTCATCTTCTGATCATCAATATTTTAATACTCCATGTAGATTTTCGGAAGACCAACACAAAAAACAAATTTATTATAATACTTTTAAAGTATTAGTAGAAATTCAAAGATATTGAACTGAGAGTTAAGTAAATCTACTCGATTTTTTTTTTTTAGAAAATTAGAAATGATAAAACATCAGTTTCTCAAGATATCCGTGTATAAAATTCCAAAATTTTCGAACCAGGTTCAGAAGTTTTGGTAGAAAATAGTACAAGCTAATCCACAAAAATCTTGACGAGAATATTTTCTAGTTCTTCTGTTACAGAAATTGTACCAAAGTTCTCTGTACCATGTACCTCAAAATTGTATCAGTTGTTGTATTACCTATAGGGATTTTCTTCACTCGTAAGATTTTCCATTTTGCATTCTTCAACATGATTGATATTTTTGAATTTTCAAATTACCTAATAGGTTCAAATTTGGTTAGAGAGTATCTTGGCAAGAGAGTCGCTGTAATAAAATTCCAAATTATAAAATGCTTTGCTCCCCTTTTTCTTCTTTACAGCGTTAGGTATCATCTATCTTTCGATATAGACCACTCCTCATTCTTGCCAGCAAACTCTATTTTCAGCCACTTGTCTCCAGGGGGTAGTTCGAGGTTGCCATCTCATTTGTAGTCTGCTGTAATATTAGTTCTGAGTTCCATCTGTAGTGCTAGGTGTCTTTCAATACTCCATTTTGGATGGGTGACTTGTGATGCTTTGTTCACCAACCTGGTACTTGGTCTTATGCAAATGTTTCTCGTATGGTCGGAGAGTAATAGTTATCTCTATCAGAATTATCGGTTTTATCGTTCTATGAGTCTTAGATGTTTTGTCGACATTTTTGGTTGCAGATGTCAAAGCCTGGATAACAAATATATCATTATTGGTAGGTACTAGATCTAGATATTGGTTTAAAACTCTCTGCCACTCGGGTAAAGTGGAATCTTTTCATTCTCAATGATTCATTAGAGCTTTCCAAAACCTCAACCTGCCATGCTAGCTTTGTTCTTCGTGTAATTTCCGCTGTTCGGTTCCTATTATCAAGTTTTAACATTCATCCTGGGAAGACGTATTCGCTAACTTTTTCAATTGTGACCCTTTTTTCTCCTTCGACGTTATTTGTATTGTGTATCACTTTTGTTTTTCCTATACTCATATTCAGGCTCCGTTCTTCAACATCAACTGCAACCCTTCAAAACTGTTGTAAAGAGTAGTAGGTACCTTCTACGATATACGATATCGTTGGTTGGTTAAATATGTCTAGACTGAAATTGAATTTGGTGAGCTCTCAACTTATTGTCGATGTGGCATTTATATAGATGTTATGAATAAGCTATCAGTGTCGTGATTAAATTCAAGGGTTGTTTAATGTACTTCATATGTCCCAATACTCCAAGAGAAAATGCGATATTAGAGGGAAAGATAGTATTCATGGCTTTTTCTATAAGAATTTTTATTGTCATAAGATGGTCAGATGAACGGTTAGTAGCTGTTCATTTCAGGTTGGTGATAATTATCATGAACGCCTTATAATATACAGGTTATCCTTAGATAAACTGACACAATTTGCAGGTAGATATCTCGAAAACGAAAAAAGATAATGAGATGCGGTTTGTTCTGGGAGAATGAATTTTTTTTTTTTTTTCACAATATTGCCAAATCCTAAAATTTGCTGAAATTTGGTTTTACAGTCATGCGCGCGATTTTTCTGAAATAAAATAACTGCCTTATTTTCAATGAAACACCCTGTATATTTTGTCATTGTCAGAAAGCCTGATTTTTCTACTTTACCAAAATCTATAATTTTCTTTTTAATTATCTTGAAATCACATCGTGAAAATTGCATTTTGTTAAAGGGGGTCAACTGGGGAAAAAATACTTCAAGCAATTAGAGGGACTTTAAACTTTCAGGATTTATTAGGTAGGGTCTTTGTATCAACTAGAACAAACGGCAAATAAATCTCAGGCTCAGGAATGGAATTATGAATTTGAGAGCCTCAAAAACTACTAATTTTTCTAAAAAAAATCATAGATAGAAAAATTTTATAAAAGAATTTTCCAATAAAAGTTCATGGAAAAATTTTCCAATAAAATGTTATAGGAAAATTGTCCAAGCTACACTATTGTTTAATTTATCGTTTTGTTTTTATCAGATAAATGTCCTATATTTTTATTTGGAATAGGTATTTTTATGTGTTATTTTCGGTTCTTTGATATATGTGCAGGGTTGTCCAATCTGGACACTTTTAATAGTCAACGTTAATTTCTGAGCGAGATACAAAAAAATCAACCCCCACTCTGAGGCTTAAATTTTATGATATTTTTGAACCGTTTTGTGGCTAGAGAATCCAGTGACTTTCTCAGTTTTTTTCTATTCATTCCCGGATTCGAGATATTAACCAGAGTCCGATTGTTTTGATGGGACACCGGACACCCTATATATTAATAACTGATTGGATAGCTCTGCTGGCTGCTTTCAATGATATAAAGTTCGATAGGTCTATCTTTTTTGTTCGAGTTTTCCCGAGGGGTTAATCACTCCCCGAAATCGTGTCACAAATTCATCCGAAATCCTATCGAACTCCCCGAAATCCTTCCGAAATCCACGAAATCACTCCGAAATCCGCCGAAATCTCTCAGAAATCATTCCACATACCCAAAAATCCCTCGCAATTGGCCCAAAATTCATAAATCGGACAACGCAGCCGTTTTTTAGTTTATACTAATACACTTTCGAATATACTTATGAGATAAATAACAGTCTAAAATCAAATTGAAATCAAAAGGCGTGTTGCAGTGTTTGCACCAGTCAAGATATCATTAAATTTGAGCCTCAGCAGACTGGAGAGTTCATTTTTATGTATCTTCAGGACTTCAAAGTTTCAGAATTTATTGAGTAAGGTCTTTCTATCAAGCAAAACATACCGCAAATGGATCTTAGGCCCAGAAATGGAATTATGATTTTTTTCACACTTAGATGCAAAAAAATCATACAAAATTTCTATTAAATCACCATTGGAAGCTTCTGAAATATACTTCAAGCAATCAGAGGGACTTCAAACTTTGAAGATTTATTGAATAGGGTCATTTTATTAAACAGAAGAAACGGCTAATCGATTTCAGGCTCAGAAATGGAATAATGATTTTTTTCTCACTTGGATGCGAAAAAATCATACATAATTTCTATTAAATCACCATTGGAAGCTTCTGAAAAATACTTCATGCAATCAAAGGGATTTCAAACTTTCAGGATTTATTGAATAAAGTCTTTTTATCATACAAAACAAACAGCGAATAGATCTCAGGCTCAGAAATGGTATTATGAATCTTTTCTTACTTAGATGCAACAAAATCATACAAAATTTCTATTAAATCACTATTGGAAGCTTCTGAAAAATACTTCAAGCAATCAGAGGGACTTCAAACTTTCAGGATTCATCGAATAGTCTTTTCATCAAACAGAAAAAACGGTGAATCGATCTCAGGCTCAGAAATGGAATTATGATTTCTTTCTTACTTAGATGCAAAAAAAGCATGTAAAATTTTTATTAAATCACTTTTGGGACCTTCTGAAAAATACTTCAAGCAATCAGAGGGACTTTCAGGATTTATTGAATAGGGTCTTTTTATCGAACGAAAGAAACGGCGAATGGATCTCAGGCTCAGAAATAAAATTATGATTTTTTTCTCCCTTAGATGCAAAAAAATCATACAAAATTTCTAATAAATCACCATTGGAAGCTTCTGAAAAAAATACTTCATGCAATCAGAGGGACTTCAAACTTTCAGGATTTATCGAATAGGGTATTTTTATCAGACAAAAAAAACCGCGAATAAATCTCAGACTCCGAAATGAAATTATCAATTTTTTCCCACTTAGATGCAAAAGAATCTGTGTTTAATATTTTTATAACTAAAACTTTGATAACAAAGTGCAATTTATACGATGCAATTTCAAGATAATTAAAAATATATATAAAATTTTGTAAAGTAGAAAAATCAGGCTTTCTGACGATGACAAAATATACAGGCTGTTTGGTGTTTAATTAAAAAGAAGGCAGTATTTTTATTTCAAAAAATCGTAAAACTGTAAAATCAAATTTCATAAAACTTTAGGATTTGGCAATATTTGGAAAAAAACTTTTAAAAATCCTTACTCTCCCAGGAGAACAAAACACACCTCGTTATCTTTCCTCGTTTTAGAGATATCTAAGTACCTACAAAATGTGTCAGTTTATCTTAGGACACCCTGTATTTGAGATAATAACGAAATGATACAGCAGTTTCTGATGTCAAGTCTTACCATCTTTTTTAAAACTACGGAATTGCTCACTAGGGGCAACAATACCACCAATAAACACAGTCAAGTATTTTTTGTAACCAGGAAAGTGTGGTTAATCAAATTCACCTGAGACCAGTGCATTAGCATAGAACTTATGTGGACTAGTTACTCTTGATGTACCTACTTACTCGATTTCCAATACTAAGCGAAATTACCAATAACTGAGAATATTTTTATTCTAAAGACAATAATAAGAGAATATTAATTACATATTTGTTATAAATACTACGTGAGTAGATCGGTAACTACTAGAGATACTAATAGGTATAATAATTTATCAAAACATCAAATTCTA